GGAGGGTGTGCAAGGAAAAAATATAATTGCCTTGAGATATGTTGGCCTATCTCTCTATAAGTATTAGCCAGGCTAGCTGGAGGACACACCCTCCCCTTGCTGGTGGCTTTTATCTAAAATAGTTCATAACACCAAGGAGATGGTGTTAAAAGAATATGATGATGGCTGTGAAAATGAATGTGTGGGTTTGGGATTTTTTTTTCTTTCTCTTTTCAGTAAGAAGCCAGTTCCTTTTTCTAACTAATGAAAAATTAGAACTGTATGGGCAGGCTCACCAGCTAAACAAAATACAAGACCCCGTGGTAAGGTTGTTGCTTCCCCTTTCAAAAAATTTCAATTTCAGAATGATTTGGTGGTTCTAGCTAGTGGAAAGAGTAGGGGAAAATGAGCTTAATTCCAGAAGGCTGGAGGAAACATTTACCCTGATTCTAATGAGATTTATTGGTTGCATCAAGAGAGAAGCAACCTAGAACTAAGGAGAAACTTCGTGACAGTTAGAACAATTAACCAGTGGAACAACCTGCCTCCAGAAGCAGTAAATGCTCCAACACTGGAAGTTTTTAAGAAGAGACTGGACAGTCATTTATCCAAAATGGTATAGGGTTTCCTGCCTGAGCAGGGGGTTGGACTAGATGACCTCCAAGGCCCCTTCCAACTTTATCATTATCATGGATCATCGCACAGTCAACCAGATGTTCAGACTGGATTTGGCATTTTGTCTACCTATCGAGTCCTTACCCAGGACATGGGATAAGCAGATGTGGATGTTTGATGGTATTACAGATATCGTCACAGGATGGAAGCAGTTCCTAGTAAAGCCGCCTTTTGCAATTGACTAATAGCGAATTTGTCAATGCCAATGGTGTTCAAGTGGTGCTCCAGTTGTTTTGGGATTGCACCCAAGGAGCCTATTACATCATCATCATCATCATCATCATTATTATTATTGTTGTTGTTGTTGTTGTTGTTGTTTCTGAGGAAACCTGGGCTTCCACCAGCATGGCAGAAGGTGGTCTCATAATTGCCAATAAAGAAGAATTTTTGTAGCTCAGGGTTTAAATGGTTGAAGTGCACTGAAGATGTTACCTAGTTTGAGTAATGAAATATCTGCAAGAAAACAGCAAGCTCAGAGAGCACTAAAGACCCCTGGTCTTGTAATTTTGACATCTGGATGGCACCACATTGTTTTCTGAAATCACCCTTCTCAAGTTTGGTAGTCTTCAGATGCACTGAGTTATTAAATAGGAAAACACTCAACCAGTTGCCTGGGGATGATGAGAACTGTAGTCCCAACCCATCTAGAGGCATGAGGTTATGGGAAGATCCCTGTGGATAATTTGGACTGCTCTTTTCTAATTGGACTATGGAGAAAAACTCTTAATGAAAGCCCACATCATGAGAAGAAGATGGCCAAACTAATGTTTGGGGTGACATTTTTTTAGTCTTTCTGATCAGATGACAATCTGAAACTGCCAGGCCTGTTGACTTTTGAGGAAGTTGAACTTGCCAGCTGTCTTGAGGAGGAAGCAGCCATGTCTTTGGCTGTGGCTGGGTTAGCAGGCAGCCTGAGTTCGCCTGCTGAGGCAAATGCAGAAACCGAGGCCCAATGGCACTGCTTAGGCTCCACTCCCTCTGGGAGCTTGTAAACTAAAAGGATCTATTTGTGAGTTGTGAACTTATTCAGATTATGAGACACGGATCTAATTGGGCTAGTTTCTGTGGGCCAGAGATCTTATTACTTATATTATTGGCTCTCCACTGCGTTTATATTCTATTTTTCTGCCAGAGAGGCAAGTCCTCGATTTACAACAGTTCGTTTTGTGACTGAAGCTACAACAGCACTGAAGAAAGTGACTTATGACCATTTTTCAACCTTACGACTGTTGCAGCATCCCCATGGTCACATAATCAAAATTCAGATGCTTGGCAACTGGCATATATTTGATGATGGTTTCAGTGTCCTGGGGTCATGTGATCCCCTTTTGTGACCTTCTGACAAGCAAAGTAAGTGGGGAAGCCAGATTCATTTAACAACCATGTTACTAACTTAACAACTACAGTGATGCACTTAACAGCTGTGATAAGAAAGGTCGTAAAATGGGGCAAAATTCACTTAATTGTCATTTTGGGCTCAATTGTGGTCGCAAGGCGAGGACTATCTGTACTGTAGTATGACCCCACCAACAACCCTGTGATGTTGGTTGGCCTTACAAAGTAACTAGTCCCAAGTCAGATAATAGAACAGAACAGAACAGAGTAGAACAGAAAAGAACTTTAGAGGTTTTCTAGTCCAGCCCCGTGCTTGAGCAGGAGAACCTACTATTTCAGACAAGTGACTGTCTAGTCCAGTGATGGCGAACCTTTTAGAGACCGAGTGCCCAAACTGCAACCCAAAACCCACTTATGCATCATTGGGTGCCGGGTGGGTGTGGCCCATTGGCTGGGCATGGCTAATTGGGTAGGTGTGGCTGCAGTGGTAACAGCAGACTGGGTGGGACTAAAAAATTCAATCAATCAATTCCAACTTTGCAAGATCTTTTTTTTTTCCCACAAGAAGTTGAAATTGACTGATTGAACCTTTTTTTTTTTTTTTTTTTTTGCACACAGTGGCGGAGGCCTAAAGCAAAAAGGTTTTATAAAACCCAGCTGAAGGCCTAGGACTGGGGCGACAGCGCACGTGCCCACAGAGGGCTCTGAGTGCCGCCTCTGGCACCTGTGCCATAGATTCGCCACCACTGGTCTAGTCCAGGGGTAGGCAACCTTGGCTCTTTTATGACTCGTGGGCTTCAACTCCATGCTGGCTCAGGAATTCTGGGAGTTGAAGTCCACGAATCATAAAAGAACCAAGGTTGCCTACCCTGGACTAGCCAAACCCAAGTCCTGCAGCCGTTCTTCATTTGCTTTAATCTCCAGGCCTTTGTTCATTTTAGTTGCTCTTCTCTGAACTTTTTCCAAGGTCTCAACATCTTTTTTGTGATATGGTGACCAAAATTGGTTGCAGTATTCCAGGTGTGGTCTTATTAGGGTTTTATAAAGTCGTACTAATACTTTGCGTGATCTTGATTCTATGCCTCTGTTTATACAACCCAGGATTGTATTAGCTTTTTTGGCTGTTGCTGCACACAGCTGGCTCATAGTCAAGTGATCATCCAGTAGGACTGCAAGGTCCCTCTCACATTTACTGTTTTTGAGCCAGGTCTCGCCTAATCTGTACTTATACTTTTGATTTTTCCTGCCTAAATGTAAAAACTTTGCTTTTCTCCACATTAAAATTCATTTCGTTGGATAGGGCCCATTGTTCAAGTTTGTCAAGATCTTTTTGGATCCTGAGCTTGTCTTCTGGAGTGTTGGCTGTTCCTGCCAGTTTAGTGTCATCTGCAAATTTGATGAGTTCCCCTTCTATTCCCTCATCTAGGTCATTTATGAAATATTAGGGGAGAACCCCCATCTTAATAATAAAAGCAGATCATTTATGTAATAGGTCTCATTATTGGAGACTATGTGTTTAAACATAGATTGGATATTCATCTGTCTCAGATGTTTTCATTTCCTACACTGATAAAAAGGTTGAAATCAAACACCTGGTGGCCTCTTCCAAATCTAGACTAGTGTTGCTCAACCTTAACCACTTTTAAATGCCTGGGTGTTGGCTGGGGAATTCTGGGAGGTGAAATTTACATATGGTAAAATTGCCAAGGTTGAGAAACACTGCTCTAGAATTCAAAGATTCTGTTCAATGCTCCTTTTTACATCTTCAATCTAATTCCATGCATGTATGCTTTTCCTGGAAGATTAGCTCATCTATGACATAGTTTTTTCAGAACTATGGTCACCTTAATTTCATACCATTGTGCTTAATCACAGATGTTTGTAATCACAATAAAAGTTTGATGGTTTTGCATTTCTTTGCTTAATTCCAGCTGGGCAGGGCCACAGTTGCAGTCAGTAAGGCCATAAATTGATGTGAAAGTTATAACAGTAGGAATATTGAAATTGTCAAAAATTGTTGAGAGATAAAACAGATGTCCCAAGTTATAAAACAAGTCATGGAAAAGCATATTTTATTTATTATGAGTTTGAGTTAGAGTTCCTAGACCTAGAGCTAAAGTATCCCCTAAGTCAGGCATGTCAAACTTGTGACATCATGTGAAGTCGCACAACGTATCGTGACTTTTTCCCCATTGCCAGCACTGGGGTGGGCGCAGTTTTGGTGTGACGCATCCGGCTCGTGGGCCGGTGGTTTGACATGCCTACCCTAAGTGGCATACATAATAGTTCCTCCTTAGCTTTGATTCTTGTAAAAAAGCTTTGAGATAGTCTGGGTTGAGAGATATAATTAGATCACCTGAATCACCCAATGAGTTTCCATGAGTGGATTTGAACCTCAGTCTCTCTGGTCCTATTATTCCCAACGCATCACATTGAGAACTAAGAATAAGATAACTATAAATCAGGGGCATTTGGACAAGAGGCTGCTTAAAGCACAATATTTCTTTTAACTAGCCTCACTAATGAAGTGTTATATATGAGGTGTGGGTGATTTTTGTCTGCCATTTATAATCTTCCATGCTTCTTACTATAAAAATCTGGTTAAAAAGAATAACAACAACATTATTCCAGTCCAACAGGCCTCGTCCTGGGATTTGATGAAGTAAGTGTTGTTTCTCTCATCTGATTACAATCCTAGATTGCCTCTTTCAAGCTTGTCCCAAAGGTGCTTTTTCCAAAAGGCAACTAGATTTCCTTGATTTTTTTTTATTTGAAAACATTTCACCTCATCCAAGAAGCTATTTCAGTTCTAACTGAAGAACAGTTCAGTTCTCACAGTTCTAAGAGAACTAAAGAAGCTTCTTGGATGAGAAATGAAACATTTTCAGAGGAAAAAAAACTAAGAAAGTCCAGTTGCCTTTTGGAAAAAAACATCTTTGGGACAACCATGGCCTGGATGATTGAAGATCTCCATAGACTCAAATCTGTACTTTGACCATCTTTCTCCACAGGGACCATCTGTGTTCTGCTCTCCTTCCCCTTCATCTTCAGCCCATGCATCGGCTGCACAGAGAGCACACCTGAGTGGGCTGCGCTCATCTACTTTGTTCCATTTATTGTCATCTTCCAATTTGGCTGGGCAGCCACCCAAATCTCTCACCTCTCGCTCATACCAGAGTTGGTCACTAGTGACCATGAGAAGGTGGAACTCACAGCTTTCAGGTAAGAACTGATAGGAAAGTGGTTAAATCTAATCCAGGCTCCATCACATTTCCTCTGGGTTATCCTCTCAAGCTTTGTTGACACCATTTAGCCAACATGTCTGGCTTGTTGTGGCCAATCCCACTGACATCTACCCGAAGAAATTCCCTGTCAACTAGCGAGCACAATGCAGAGCACAATTTCCAAGGGCATTGCGTACTAGTGAACAGCAGTTTGGTCTAGTCCAGGGGTAGGCAACCTTGGCTCTTTTATGATTTGTGGACTTCAATACCCAGAATTCCTGAACCAGCCATGCTGACTCAGGAATTCTGGGAGTTGAAGTCCATAAGTCATAAAAGAGCCAAGGTTGCCTACCCCTGGTCTAGCGGTTAAGGCACTAGGCTAGAAACTAGGAGACTATGAGTTCTAGTTCTGCCTTAGGCGTAAAGTCAGCTGGGTGTCTTTGGGCCAGTCACTTTCAGCCCAGGAAATCAGACTCGGGCATCAAGCTGGTGGATCAATTCGAGTCATCACCAATAGATCAGCATTGTTACCTTGTGGATGCCAATAAATTTGATTGATTGATTGATTGATAGATAGGTAAATCTGAAACACAGATCCTGTACCTACAAGAAAATGCCAGGAAGAAAAAAAAAATAGTGTGGATTAGTGAACACACAACTGCAGAATCTTTGGTCCTGTGGCAGTTCTCAGGTTGTAAGAAATGCTTTCAAGGATCAAAACTGCAATGGATGACCTTCAAGATTCTAGGATATCCTTTGAAGGTCAGCTGTCCTTACCCATCATAATTCAAACACTGTGATTATTTATTTAGGTAAACTGAAATTAACATCTGAGTTATTGAATTAATTACTTTTTAATAAATTAAAATTAAATTTAAAATGGAATACTGTGACTTGCAACCTCCTGCCGGCTTCTCCATTGACTTCCCTTGTCAGAATCTGGCTGGGAAGGTTGCACATGCCAATCAAATGACTGCAGGACACTACAGATGTCCTAAGTGCGGAGCCAGTTGCCAAGCAACCCAGATCACGATCTCGTGAGCACAAGGATGCGGCAACAGTTTAAAGTCTTAGGACTGGTCATACATCACTTTTTTCAGCACCATCCTAACTTCAAACGGTTGCTAAACCAGTGGTTGTTAAGGGAGGGTTATCTATAGAAGCTGATGCAAAGTGTCCTAAATAAGTTTTTCCTTTAGGTTTCTTAACTGAAAAAAAGACAGTCGGAATGGAGGGAATCCAGCTAGCTGGGGAAAAGCATGAACCCAGCAAATAACATTTTTGCAAGCAAAGTTATTCAACTGGCAGTTTCTTCCTTAGAAGTTTGGAGGAACTTCCCCAGAGCTTCTGTACCCAAATGGTGGGAAAAGAGAAAATAACCTGAATTTCCGGGGTGGGGCCTGGGACCTGATGGGCACTGATATGAACCAATCCCCTTTTTTCAGCTGTGGTCTATGCTTAATAAACTCTGCTTGGTCTCCCTGCTTCCAGGTACGCCTTCACTGTCATGGCCAACATCACGGTGTATGGAGTTGCATGGCTCCTCCTGCACTTCCAGATCGATCCCACAAAGAAGCTCATCCAGCACCTCGGGCGCCATGACATTCCTGTCTTTCAGGTGGGTATTTGGCAAGATGGTGGACAGAAGGTGTAAGACTGGATTTCCTTGTCCTGTCAGTTGCTGGTTTACAACGTGAGTCTTTGAATATCATGGCCAACTTCCTTTTCCTCCCCCTCTTCACAAAGATCCACTTCCTAGATTTAGTCTTGCTGTCCTAACCTTTCTTATTTGCTTTCTGTTCCCACTCTAGAACCTGTCCCTGATTGTGGTAGGGCTGGGTTCCATTTCTTCGCTCTTCTTCCATCTTGGGACCAAAGAAAAGACACGGACAGTTTCTAGATTGCCCGATCCAGATGAGAATAGTCCCCTGTTGCCTCTAGACCCAAAGAAGCCCATTCGGACGGTCCTTCTTTGGAAACACTGGTTTCTGGAGCCTGCTTTCTACCAGGTGAGTCTGGAGGGCAGAAGATCACATCTTCTCTTACCCTTGTAGTTCATTCTTTTTCCAGGATCAAGGAATTTGGGAAGACTTGTTCTGCAGATATCTAAAAGGTCCAAAGCAATCTTCCCTGGTGGTGCCCTTCAGGGACATTTAATAATAATAATAATAATAGTAATAGTAATAATAATAATAAAGTTGGAAGGGACCTTGGAGGTCATCGAGTCCAACCCCCTGCTCAGGCAGGAACCCTACACCATTTCAGACAAATGGCTGTCCAGTCTCTTCTTAAAAACTTCCAGTGTTGGAGTATTCACCGCTTCTGGAGGCAGGTTGTTCCACTGATTAATTGTTTTAACTGTCAGGAAGTTTCTCCTTAGTTCTAAGTTGCTTCTCTCCTTGATCAGTTTCCATCTGTTGCTTCTTGTCCTGCCTTCAGACGCCTTGGAGAATAGCTTCACTCCCTCTTCTTTGTGGCAGTCCCTGAAATATTGGAACACTGCTATCATGTCCCCCCTCGTCCTTCTCTTCGTTAAACTAGATATACCCAATTCCAGCAACCGTTCCTTATGTTTTAGCCTCCAATCCCCTAATCATCTTTGTTGCTCTTCTCTGTACTCTTTCTCAACCTCAGCTACCATGTTTCCCTGAAAGTAAGACCTGCCCTGAAAATAAGCCGTAGCTTGATTTTTGGGGGGTGGGACTAATATAAGCCCTACCCCAAAAATAAGCCCTAGTTTTGGGGTATGGCACACGTCTGAAAAATCAAGCTAGGCTGGGGATGGAGGGCTGGAGCTGCCCCATGTGCCCCACTCCCACTTACCTTGCAGCCAGGCCTCTCGTCACCAGCCCACTTCTGCGGCATCCCCAGGCCTGCATTTTGTAGTCAAAGGCCTTTCCAGAAGGTCACTGCAACCAAGAACCAAGCTATGGATTCAATACATAGCTCGGTTCTTAGCTGCAGTGGCCTTCCAGAAAGGCCTTTGACTGCAAAATTCAGGCTGGAGCTCCATTCTCAGCTGCAGAATGAAGCTGCTCCTTTGGCCACAGAAAACATGGGCCAGCTGGGCGGAGCTGTCAGTGCCAGAGGTAAGTGGAAAAGACACACCCTGGTGCCTCTTTTGGAGGCAAAAAAAAATAAAAATAAGACCGAGCCTTATTTTCAGGGAAACACCTGGTGCCTCTTTTGGAGGCAAAAAAAAATAAAAATAAGACCGAGCCTTATTTTCAGGGAAACACTGTACTTTAAGATGGATGGACTTCAACTCCCGGAATAGTTGGGGATTTCTGGGAATTGAAGTCCATCCATCTTAAAGTTATTAAGATTGAAAAACATTACACTATACATTGGCCAGAATAACTCTTGGCCATATTATAGAGCAGGGCTTTTCAATCTTTTCACCCATTGTACCACTTTTAGGATACGGCAACATCCGAGTACCACCAGTCGCCTAGCAAGGTGTCAAAAACTTGGTGACCAAAAAAAAAAAAAAAGGAAAAAAGTGGTAAAGTACAAGTAGTCCTCGACTTACAACAGTTTGCTTAGTGACTGTTCGAAGTTACAATGGCACTGAAGAAAGTGCCCACCAAGCCACAACCAAGCAAGACACCTGCCTGCCCGCCCAGCCGCGCTCTTCCTCCTGTCTGAGATTTTCATTGTTGTGAGCATTTCTGTTGAGGATTGGCAGCGGGAGTGGGGTGGGGGGTGTTTGGTTTTTATTCCCCCCATCTGCTGGGTGTTTGGAGCAGGTTTGGTCACTTCACATGACCCTGGGACACTATGACCGTCATAAATATGAATCAGTTGCCAAGCATCTTAATGTAAATCATAAGACCTTGGAGATGCTGCAACATTCCAGCTGATCGACACTTCTTCTGGGCTTAGCAGAAGCGCCAGGATCAGCGCCGAGCTCCATCTGGAGCCTGGCGCTGATCCTGGCACTTCCGCTGAGCCCTGGCAGCCCTGCAGCTCCAGCCATCTCTCGCTCAGGCTTGTGCAGTGCTGCCACCAGTTTAGCTCATTCCCCTCCCCCGCTACCACTTTTCTAGGATGGTCGCATACCACCTGCCAGGTGCCAATGTACCACAGGTGGCATCCGTACCACTGGTTGAAAAGCCCTGCTATAGAGCAGGGGTCTCCAAATTTGACAACTTTTAAGACTTGTGGACTCCAGCTCTCAGAATTTCCCAACCAACATGGCTTGCTGAGGAATTCTGGGAGTTGAAGTCCATAAGTTGTGAAGTTGCCAAGTGTGGAGACCACTGCTGTAGAGGGATGATGGCATGCGTATATTGGAGAAGATGGGCTCAGCATAGTGGTATTGACAAAATGTAAATATATGCCAAATCAAAGACCAAAACATTCTGTCCCCCTTTCAAACAGTGCCATTTCATTTGGCATTTTAGCAGTTTTTGGAAATAAATCTTTCAAACCAGAATTGATCTGGCCTCCAAATAAGTTTCTTTCTTTCTTTCTTTCTTTCTTTCTTTCTTTCTTTCTTTCTTTCTTTCTTTCTTTCTTTCTTTCTTTCTTTCTTTCTTTCTTTTTTTGAACAATTGTTTTCAGCTCAATCCATTTTTGACTTGGAAGTTTTAATTCCAGGAATTGCCCTCTGGAGCAACATAGCCCAGAGGAGATTCTACATGTTATGAAGGGGAACAGTATTTCTGGAATCTGGAATCCCCCAGAATGTTATCTTCCTTAGTTGTTTAGCTTTATACATTAGATGTAATTCTAAAGTGGGAAAGGAAACCATGTGAGCAGAGAAATTGTTGCATTGTCTTATGTGCATCTGTAATGCCACTTTTTGCTTCCAGGTGGCAATGCTGTACATGTCCACCCGTCTCATTGTCAACCTCTCTCAGACATACATTGCAATGTATCTCACCAACTCACTAATGCTTCCAAAGGTAAGTGTGATCTTTGGGAAGGGGGAAGTGTGTTTTATATTATCTAGTTCAGTGATGGCGAACCTTTTAAAGACCGAGTGCCCAAACCACAACCCCAAACCCACTTATGTATCGCAAAGTGCCAGGGCCGCATCAGCATTATGGTGCCCTCAGGAGGGGTGGGGCGTGGGCCACTGGGGGGGCGTGGCTGCAGTAGTTATGCAAACTGAGTGGACGTGGCCAGGGTGGGTGTGGCCACCTTGATGTTGCTCGTGGGGGGATGCCTGTGGGGGCTGGGCAGGATTGGGGGAGATCCAGAGGGTCTCTGGTGGGTGGCGTGGGCAGGAGGCTCATCCTGTGGGGTGAGACAGGATAGGGCGGGGGTGCCATTGCTGCACTGCAAGGCAAGATAGGGGTGGCTGCTGCCTGACACCATCAGCCCCCGCACACAGAGGCCAGCGAGCGCATGGGGACGTGCTCTACCACCTCTACTTGAGCTTGCTAGCCAGCTGCTTCACCTCCTTTGTGCTGGGTGGGGCTGCCGCTTTGGGTGCCAGCGGTGGCCTAATGGGCCTGGGTGAGCCAGCGGCGGCGGCAAGTGTGCCCACAGAGAGGGCTCTAAATGCCGCCTCTGGCACGCATGCCGTAGGTTTGCCATCACTGGTCTAGTCAGTACGTTTTAGATCAGCTTCTGTCATAATAATAATTATAATTATTATTTTGTGGCCATGTGACCATGATTTTTAGCATATTTTTTTTTTGTCAGAAACTGGCATTTACTTCCAGTTTCTGGCAAAAAAAAAAAAAAAACATCCATTGGCTAAAGTGGGTTCATTTAACAACTGCTGCATTTGCTTAATGATCACAGTGTTTGCTTAATGACCTCCACACAAAAGATTGTAAAATTGAGCACCGTTGTTTAATGATTGCTATCACTTGTCACCCTAATTCTGAGCTTAATTATAGCAGGAATTAATCAACAATAGATTGCATTTGTTTTCTTATCTTCTTTTTCCCCCTCCCCCAAGGAAGAGCCTAAATCAGTGTTTCTCAGCCTTGACAATTTTAAGGCATGTGGACTTCAACTCCCAGAATTCCACAGGCAGCAATGCTTGCTGTGGAATTCTGGGAGTTGAAGTCCACATGCCTTAAAATTGTCAAGGTTGAGAAACACTGGCCTAAATGGTGTTACTCCCTTTTCTATCACCTTTTTACAGAAATACATTGCCACAATCCCGTTGGTGATGTACATTAGTGGCTTTCTCTCCTCCTTTTTGATGAAAACTGTGAACAGACGGATTGGCAGAAATGTGAGTACTCCCGGCCTTCGTTTTCAGTCTTTGTAAAGTAGAATAAAGTGGAATAATAAAGAATAAAGTAGAATAAAGTGGAATAATAATAATAATGATAATGAAAAATCACTAAAAGAAAAATGATGTGTCTGCATAGTTACTGGTATAAAGCTGTGTAAGCAATCTGTGACTAACCAAATGCGCAGGACATTTAGAAACACTGTATAAAGTAAAACTCTCTTCATTGTATGCCTGTGAGAAACTAACTGAAGAAAATACAATGTAGATTTCTCTGTGTGCTCCTTTGTTCCTGAGAAAGGGAAAGTATAAAAACTGTAGTTTGTACCTGCCCCCTTTGTTCAGAATTGCTGGTTGTTAATCGCTTCTGAACCTTGCACAAAATAAATCTCTCTGCTACACCCTTTGGAATTCGTAAAAGTCTCTTACGTTTTTCCACAAGATTTGCAGTCCTAAAGGGAAATTCGGCTTTCCTACCATGTGTCCTTCCAGATACCACTTCACTAACTCCCAGGAAGGTCTCTTCCATACTCAGGCAGCTCTTACTGTACAGAACTTGCATTTTCCAACTTGAAATTTATGGGGATATGTGAAAGAGGCTATCCACACTAGGAAATCCAACTGAGCTCTTCCTGTCAGGTGCAAAGGGCCAGGTCCATACGTGAAGGTCTGATGAAACTGATTTATTGCTAATTATGTCTGTGCACAGGAATGAACAGCAGGGTGGCCTAGAGGTGGCGCTCTTGCCTCACAATCAGGAGGCTGTGAGTTCAATCCTAGGTAACCGCAGATATTTCTCCCCCTGGGACAAAGAGAAAATACCTGCTGCGAACTCCAAAGAAGCGTCAGGAAAGGCATCCAGCTAGTAAATGCTCAGTTCTATTCTGTCCCACCACCATCTCACTTAAAATGACTCCAGGCAGCTTACAGAAATTGTATTATGAGCTATATTCATTTACAAGTGCTGTCATTGTACTGTTGAAAAAGAATGGTGGGTTTATTTCTGCTTCCTTTGTTCATTCTAGCTCTTGCTTGCTCTGTGTTCTTCTCCTTTTTCAATATGATGCTCTCCAGCATTTTGCGAGAAGTAGGCTTTTGTCCAAAAGACAAAACACTTGACGGTAGAAAACTTGGGGAAATTCTTAGATATTAGAACGTTATTTCTCAATCTCAGCAAATTTAAGAGGTGTAAACTTCAACTTCCAGAATTCCTAAACCAGCATACTGGCTGGGGAATTCTGGGAGTTGAAGTCCACACCTCTTCAAGTTGTCATGGTTGAGAAATACTGAATTAGGGGATGCTAGTGAATAAGTAATCCCAAAGGTGTTTTTTGTTTTAAAGGCAACTGGATTTCCTTGATTTTTCTTTTCTTGAAAATGTTTCCTTTTCATTCCCCACTGGTTAGTTACAACTGAAGAAGCTACTTGAAAGAGAAGTGAAGTCTTTAAGAAAAAGATAAAATCAAGACAATCCAGTTGCCTTTTTAAAAAGCACCTATGGGACAACCAAGACCTGGATGACTTGAGAACTTCCTAGATATTGAATAAATACTTTGTGTAGTAGTAATTAAGGCATCCATGCTTTAGAAATGAAAATAATTTTCTTTTTTCATGTTAGCTCACCTACTTTCTGGGACTGCTGATTATCATGGCCTTTGCCTCCTGGGTGGCCCTAGCTGAGCGAATGGGCATAGAGGTGTACGGGGCTGCTGTTCTGCTTGGGATCGGGTCGGCCACCATCCTGGTGACATCCCTCTCCATGACAGCTGATCTCATCGGGCCCCACACGGTATGAAGTACCTTGTGTAAAAGATGGAGTCAGTCCTGCTTTAGGAACTGGGTGAAAATTCAGTGCTAATCCTTAAAAAAGCAGGGGGGGGAGTCTTAAAGAAGCAATATGGGATTTCTAAATCATAGACAAAAGTGACTCATTCGATGCTCCCAAAGTACCGTCAAGGGGACAATGCCAAAGATGTGGCCAAGGTTATCCTGAGAGGTGAGAGATTCAAGATGGCAGCCATAGTGACATGATCAAAGCCCCTCCTCTTTTTATGCATGTGGAAAGGAGGCGGGACTTCAATCACACCATTGTCGTCACCGTCTTGAGTTAGGTGTGGCTCGTGGCCTGTATATCATTTGCAGCATTTTTGCACGATCCCCGCTTCTGACTAAAACATTTACGGGGACTAAAAGGCAAAATGTGTGTGTCGAGCCTTAGGGTGCCATAATATCATGCTTTGTTTGTTTTTAGAAGTACATAAGGCCACTTGTTTATTTGTTTTTATGGGAAGGGGAACATGAAGGACAGAAGGCACTTTTGGAGAAGCTGAGAGATAAATGGTTTAACTCATGCCGGCTGGGGAATTCTGGGAGTTGAGGTCCACACGTCTTAAAGCTGCTGAGGTTGAGATACATTGCTATAGGGCAGGGGTAGGCAGCCTTGGCTCTTTTATGACTCGTGGACTTCAACTCCCAGAATTCCTGAGTCAGCCATGCTGAGGGGAAAGGGAGAGTTTCTAAGCTGAGCCATGCTGGCTCAGGAATCCTGGGAGTTGAAGTCCACGAGTCATAAAAGAGCCAAGGTTGCCTATCCCCGCTATAGGCAAAGATCCTCCTGAAATGCTAAAAAGGGGGTGGGGAGAGAAAAGAAAAAAAAAGAATACAACCCTCAGAATGGTACTATACTGTAGAACTATTTTGAGGTTTGCCTCTTCGTTTTGTTTCAAATTTTTGCTTCCTGTCCAGGGTGAGACCTGGCAGCCACTCAGGTGATCCTGATGCATCTGTGGCTCATTTTCTCCGATAGCACAGCGGCGCATTCGTCTACGGGGCCATGAGCTTCACTGATAAAGTCGCCAACGGATTGTCGGTGATGATTATCCAGGACCTGCATCCATGTCCGTAAGTGAAGGGTGGGCTACGGAGACTGCAGCGTTCGTGAAAAGAAGTTTGGTGAGAGGGCCCTGTGGCACATCAATGACTTGAAGGGTACCCTTTGACACATCAGCAGAAATGGAGGGTACTTTTGGGAGAAATGTTTCTGCTTGTCAGAACAGGCTGGGTTTTTTTTAAGCCCATTCAAATGATGCTGGACTCAGCATGTACTGCCCATTAAATACTTTACCTCTTGTGTTAAACCAGGATTTGCTTAAGCATAGTTTATTTAATAAACCATAATTGGCTGGACTGTAGTACACATTAGGCCGTCCAGTACCATTGCAAACCGTTATGCTTAAGTTTAGGCATGAAGGCAAACCTGAAATCAAATACTGATATATGGACGCTGTACAGGTATATTAGAAGTGGAAACTATGGTTGATCAACCCATAATTCTATTTTCATATTGCATTACTACCTACATTATGCTCGCAAATCATATTATATCATAACCTTTAATATCTGGATTGAGACCTTTTGGAGAGGGAAATTTCAAGAGGGAGTGTTGGAGATACCATAGATGAGGGGAATCCTCCATGTACCAACGCAGTCTACCATAGAGTGTACAGTAACAGTGATTGTTACAGGAACGGCATTGGTAATAGACTCAGCAAGACTCTTGAAATGACACCAATGAGAAATGTAGCTCCATCCAATTTTTTGTTTCGATCCTATAAGGTTTTTTTGTTCTCCAGTGGAACTGCCAGTTTTGCTTAACCAGGGGTTCTGAAGAGAGAGCCTCCATGTGTAAAAGCAGTGTGCACAACCTAATATTTATCTTCATGTTCCTTTCCCCCCCTCTTATTGTTGTCTCCATCCCCACCCTTCACGAACTCCAGGACTCAGCTCTGTTGCAATGGCTGTGTGACCTTCTACCATTGGGTAATGATCTCGGTTACTGGGGGCATGGCAATGGTGGCTGCGCTGTTCCTAGCCAGCATCATGATCTGGCCAATCGCCATCCGTTCCCGTAAGTAGGATTTGCTGGGATGGAAAAATAAGGTGGTGGGAAAGACAGAAGAGACGGAAGCAGAGAAGTGCAGATGTAACTACAGATAGTCCTTGACTTACAACCACAGTTGCGACCAGAAGTCTTGTTGCTAAGTGAGTTATACCTGATTTTATGACCTATTTTTCCAGCTGTTAAGTGAATCACTGCAATTATTAAGTGAATTGTGTAGTCATTAAATGAATCTGGCTTCCCTATTGACTTTGCTTGTCGGAAGCTAGCTGGGAATGTCACAAACAGCAATCACATGACCCTGGAATGCTGCAACTGTCATAAATACATGCCCGAATTTTGATCATGTGACATTGAGATAGTGTGAGGGTGGTAAGTGTGAGGACCGGCCATAAGCCACATTTCTCGTGCCATTATAATTTAGAATGGTCACTAAATGAACGGTCGTAAATGAAGGACAACCTTTACCCTTCAGTGATGACTTTCATCTTTCTGGAAAGGTTTGAACTCTGGGGAGATGCCACAGGGATGGGGGTTCTCTCCTACTTCTCTTCACTGTTTTCATTCTCCATCCAGCTGGAAGGACATTCTGTAAACATGGCGGAGACTTTGTTTATCAAGGTGATGACTCTTATTCATGATCAGAATGAGATCAAATTTAGTATGGTGGGGGGAGAGAAGTTAGCAAAAGAAAGGCTGAGTTAAAAATAGGCCAGATCCATTGAGAAGAAAAGACATTCTTTCCAGTTCCCTCAGGGCATGCCTATGGCAGTGACTCATAATGTTTGCAACTGCTCCATTCTTTCTCTCAGTCACACGACCCCTGATGTAACATTGCATACTTGAATGTGCATGCACACACACACACAAATGGAAAATCCAGATGCCTCTTACAGTGGCTGCTTCTAAAGCAGGGGTTCCCAACCCCCGGGCATGACTCACTACCAGGCCGTGGCCCGTTCAGAACCAAGCCACGGAAGCAGCAGCTGAGCACATGCGCAGCTGCACTTGCACCCAGAGCAGGCGGACGAGTGCATGCGCACAGCTCCATTTGTCCGAGCAGTGGGCAAGCGTGCCTGCCACTTGCGCATAGGGAGCTGCACATGCATACATGCTCACCCGCTGCAGCTCACGAGGAACCATCCCCTTTTGCCCCCTCCCCCCCCCACACACACCTGCTGATCCACAAAGCCGGAACAATTGGAGATCACTGTTGCAAAGTATTTGGAAATAATTTCAGAAGTCTGGCTGTCCATTTAAACAACAGACACCCATTAAAGCGAAAGATGTAACGGGCAAGAGTTTACAGGTAGTCCTCAAGTTAGAACTGTTCATTTAGTGACCCATTTGAAATTACAACTGTGAAAAAAGTGATTTATGACCATTTTTCACACGTACAACCATCACAGCAACCCCAAGGTCATGTAGTCAAAATTCAGACATTTCGAAACTGACTCATATTTATGACAGTTGCAGTTTTCCCGGGATCATGTGATTATCTTTTGCGAACTTCTGACCAGCAAAGTCAATGGGGAAGCCAGATTCACTTAACAATCATGTTATTAACAACTGCCGTGATTCACTTAACAATTTGTGGCAAGAAAGGTCGTAAAATGGGGCAAAATTCACTTAACTCACAGCAACAGAAATGTCGGACTCAACATTATACTTTATACCCAACATTTTATGTTATACTACACACACACACACACACACACACATTAAAAAAAGGGAGAGTGGCATGTGGAAAAGTTATGAATTGAATGAATGAATTGCATTTCTCCTGCATATTATGTTTCGATTTCAGGACTAGCCAGGGTGAATCCCAAAAACCACGAGTATCTTGAGGAAGGAGAACCAGTGGCTGTGGTGAACTGAGATCTTTGAAGAAACAAGCTAGCATAGGATGGAATTGTTACAGTGCGGCAGCATGGAAATCCAAAGAGCTGTTTCATCCAGTTTGAATTTGCCCTTATTTGCTCTTCAGACTGAACATTGACAATCCCAGCATATTTTGCACAAATACCAGAAGATCTTTTCTTTTGACCACTTCATTCCCCCAGTTGGTCCCTTATGCAGTTAGTGAAGAACTAGCAATGAAGCAATAGGTTCCATCACCTAATCCACTCTCCCATTCCCTTTTTCTACTTATTTGTATATAAAAAGTATAAATAAATAAATGTGAGGTTTTTTATTTAAGAAATAATTAAACTATCTTAAGTTAAAAAAAAGACTTCTAATTATCTTTTTACTTGTTTGCTAAATATTCTTTTTTTAGATGTTTGATCTTTAAAATACAGGGGAATGGATAGATGCTGATCTGGAAGTAGATCACTTTCAGAAAGGCTGGTCTGTCAGGGTAGAATGGCACAGCTTTGAATTTGGTATCTTGATTATTCCCGCCATCTTCACCCATAAAAAAATCCACATATTATGGTTTATTTGTCAGTGTTGAAGGATCAACAGACTGGCATATATCACCCCTTTCCTATTGTCCCAAAACTGGACATACATGAATAGTGTCCAGTTTTGGGACTGATTTATTGCACTGCAGCCAGCTGTTAATGCTGAACTTCCGAAGGAAAGTCGTCATGCTCGTAAGAGCTGAACAGCTACTTCTTAAGAGGAGTTTAATTAGTTTTCCTTCAAGTTGCAAAGGCCTGATCAAGATGATCTTTGAGGTCCTCCCAATGCTATAATTCCTTTACTGAGAGGTTGGTTTGCTCATATCAATAGATTATATGCACAAGCCAAGAATCCTTGGTTATTTATAATGGATAAATAGCCTTTCAAATCATGTAATGGTATCACAATTGCAAATTATACCTGGAGCTCAAGTTGATTTTGCTTATGGCTTGTTTTACCAATCTAAAGTTTTCCTACCAACTAATAATTACGGGATTTAAAGTCAAACACATTTGCAAAGTATAAAAATGAAGAAGATTGACTCCAAGTGGTATCCCTTTTTTCCTTTTCCATTGCCTCCCATTCTGGAAACAGGTAGTCTTCGACTTATGACCACAATTGAGCCCAGAATTTCTGGTGCTAAGTGAGTCATTTGTTAAAGTCATTTTATGACCTTGCATGTCAGAATTGTTAAGTAAATCACTGCAGTTGAAAAGCTAGTAACACGGTTGTTAAGTAAATCTGGCTCCCCCATTGACTTTGCTTGTCAAAAGGTCGCCAAAAAATGATCACATGATCCCAGGCCACGGCAACCATCCTAAGTATGAATCAGTTGCCAAGCGCCTGAATTTTGGTCACATGACCATGAGGATGCTACAATGGTTGTAAGTGTGGTCATAAGTCACTTTCTTCAATGCTATTCTAGCTTTGAATGGTCACTAAATGAGCTGTTGTAAGTTGAGGACTGCCTGTATTGTGATTTGTCACTTCCTTGTTGGCTTTAGAGTGATCCTGTCTATATAGCTTCTAGCTATAGTTTTTAAGTCCTCTACTTCAGGGCTTTTCAACCTTTTCACCCATTGTACCACTTTTAGGATATAGCAACATCCGAGTACCACCAGTCACCTAGCAAGGTGTCAAAAACTTGATGACTAAAAAAAAAGGAAAAAAGTGATGAAGTACAGGTAGTCCTCAACTTACAACAGTTTGCTTAGTGACTGTTTGAAGTTACAATAGAACTGAAAAAAGTGCCCCCCAAGCCACAGCCGAGCAAGACATCTGCCCGCCCAGTGGTGCTCTTCCTCCTGCCAAGGTTTTCATTGTTGTGAGCGGGGGTGGGGTGGGGGGTGTTTTGTTTTTATTCCCCCCCATCTTCTGGGTGGTTGCAGCAGGTTTTGGTCACTTCACTTCACTTGACCCTAGGACACTGTGACTGTCATAAATGTGAATCAGTTGCCAAGCATCTGAATGTAAATCACAAGACCCTGGAGATGCTGCAACATTCCAGCTGATCAGCGCTTCCTCTGAGCTCAGCAGAAGCGCCAGGATCAATGCCGAGCTCCAGCTGGAGCCTGGCACTGATCCTGGCACTTCCACTGAGCCCTGACAGTCCTGCAGCTCCAGCCATCTCTCACTCAGGTTTTTGTGGGGTGCTGCCACCAGTTCAGCTCATTACCCTCCCCCGCTATCACTTTTCTAGGATGGTTGCATACCACCTGCCAGGTGCCAATGTACCACGGGTGGTACCCGTACCACTGGTTGAAAAGCCCTGCTCTACTTGTCCATTCTTTATCCTGCCATTTGGCTCCGCTCAGTTTGCCATTTTAGAGCTCTGGAACATGAAGCAACTTAGCCATCTTCCCTCAAACCACAATTTACACCTTTTCTATGGTTTGCATCCTTCATTTTCTAATCACTTTCAAAGAGAGCTTGCTAATTGCTTCTCAGCTATTAGAAACTGTGGATCAACAAGTTTTACAACACCAGGTGAATTTTCTTCCTCCTTAGCAAAAGTTTTAAATACAAGTGTAAGGATTGTAGAGTTACATTATTTTGGAATAAACAGCAAAAGAGTGATCAGAACTTTTAATTTTGAAAAGTTACAAATTGACTAGAGGTCCAGGTATGAATTTGAAATAAGATTTTGGGATTAATTATAAGAATTCTTCCTGTGGGAAAATGCTTCTATTTTTAATTCTTAAAAAAAAAAAACTTTGAAGACTGGACACTAGAGCAGGGGTCCCCAACCCCCAGTCCGTGGACCAGTAGTGGGCCATGGCATGCCAGCAACCGGTCCGCACAAACAAGCAAAGCCCCACCCGCGGGATGCAGGCAGCACGCAAAACCCTGCCCTCCTTTCCTTCCCACCATCTGCGGAAAAACCTCTCTCCACATAACCGGTCCCTGGTGCCCAAAAGGCTGGGGACCTCTGCACTAGAGGGAACCAGAGGAACTAAAGATTTCAGTGCAATTAAAGGAGAAAAACACTCAAAATTTTACTTATTAATGTATAATGAAGCAAAACACCTTAATATTGAACCTATTGAGATATATTTTTGAACAATGAACTCAAATTAATTTTAAAAGTGTCTGCCATGATAGACTATGTTTAAAAGATGTTATAGAAGAGGAACAAGCACCATTGAGTCTGATCTGAAAGTGGATTTTAAAAGGAAAGGCTATAAGAATGATAATGGAAAAAGATGCTACACTGGATATACAATTGAAAATGACTTCTGTCTTAATGAAAAGGGTATACAAATAAAGCAAAGAGTGATCTGGATAACTTTCCTATATTGGATTTACAAAAGAGATTTGTTAAATCTTTGAAAAATTTTGTGAGAAGGGACAAAAGTAAAAAAATGAAATCAGCTTTTAAGACATTTATTCTATTTATCAAATTCCTACACTGCTCATCTTACCTAAGTGACTCTGATTACTTGAAAGGATTAAAGGTCAAGATGGTTAAAAAGAGAAGGAAGGAATATAAGGTTGGTTTAACTGAGTTTCCAGCAGCAACTGATTAACTTACTGGTGGGTGTGGTGCTTTTTTCCAAGAAATCAGAAGACACAAACGGAAATGTGGGTGAGTCCCAACATGCCTCCACAAGATGGCACTTCCTCATCAGAACAGTCAAAGTCAAGGAAATTATGATTGGCAAGAACAAAAGGAAATGGTTCAGGATGTCGGGTTACTTTGCGCAACTAACAACTGTATTTAAAAGAAAAATGTTTATGAGTAATGAAGGGGAGAGTCACTTTGAGGGGCTGGCTTAGAGGCCAGAAGACCACAAGTTCTAGTCATCCCTTAGGCATCAAAGCCAGCATGATGATTTGAGGCCAGTTGCTCCCTCTCCGTTCTACCCACCTCACAAGATTATATTGGGGGGGAACAGGAGTAGAAAACATGGATGCTGCCTTCAGTTGTCCAATACACTCCCACCCTGTCCTGTCATTCTCTCTCTCCCTCTCTCTGCCAGGTGGGGGATGAAGTGAGGAGGTATGGGGGCTGCAGGTTGGGAAGGATATGCCAGGGAGCGTGAGAAGTATTGTGGATCAAGAAGAGTGCATGATAGATGCAGTGCAAGTCAGGGTAGATTGTGCAGGCGACTGGTTATCAGGGTCAGGAAGGCTATGTGGGGGTCAAGGATGGCTGTGATAGATGCCATGTGGACAGGAAGGGTGTGTGCAAGAGATCTCACGGGAGTTGGAAAAGGCATGCTTGGGACTGTGTGATGGATGTGTGTGTGTCGGATGGAGTGTGGGAGGTGGCACAGGTCTGGGAGATTACAGAGGGGCAATGTGGACCAGAAAGGGTGTGTGGGATTTCCTTCCTCCCTGTTATTCCCTATTCCTCCCCTCCCCTTTCTTGTGGTTAAATGACTGCTGTTGGATGGGGGGGGGGAGAGGGATTGCAAGACTGGCTTGGAAACTGTCACAGAACCAGTTGAAAATACAGATCACATGGCCAAAATCTATAAGCCAGCTGGATTTTGGATGCATTCTGCGAGATAGCCTATTTGAGTACTTTGGTTCAAAAATGTTGCTTTTGATAACCAGGTAACGGTTATACAAAAAAGAGGTTTCATAGTACGCTGATGTCACATCCTCTCTTGAAAGAGCCAAGCACAAAAGCAAGCAGGGTTGTACTGCCCTTAATAACATTCCCTAACAAATAAAACCACAGACAACAACCAGCAATTATAGAAACAGACACCCTTTGTAATAGCAGATTAGCAGCATGAAGACCAAGGCAAAGCAATCCAGCACCTTTCAGAGCTTTGGACTTCAAGACACAGGCTACCAGCCATGCTGCGTCTCCAGCTTACAGCTCTCTGGATCAGTGTTTCTAAATCTCAACAACATTAAGATGGGTGGACTTCATGCTGGCCGGGGAATTCTGGGAATTGAAGTCCACAAGTCATAAAATGGCCAAGTCTGAAGACCCCTGGTCTAGTGGCTAAGGCACCAGGCTAGAAACCAGGAGACAGAATTCTAGTTCTGCCTTAGGCATAAAAGCCAGCTGGGTGACTTTGGGCCAGCCACTCTCTCTCAGCCCAACCCACCTCATAGGGTTGTTGGGAAAATAGGAGGAGGATGGAGGATTAGGAATGTTCACTGCCTTGAGTCACTTATAGAGTAATAAAGGGATGAAAATCTTAAAAAGATAAAAAGGCTAATAAAACAATCTAACACCAAGAACAATCATTACTGGCTAAAGAAAGAGGAAATGCCCAAGGAAGAAAAATTGCAGCTTCCCAAACCCCAAGGCATGGAGGAATAATTTATTTTTAACAACTTTCCTCAAAAGAAAAGGAAGGCACTG